CGTCTGCGTACACCGGGTGGCCGCACCATCTGCGTACACCGGGTGGCCGCACCGTCTGGCTGCGGCCGTGTGGACGCGGTATATGTGCTTTCAGGGGCGTCATCCATCGCACCACGGTCACGCACCAGGTTCTCCTGCGAGGGGCCGCCCAGTGCTACCTTCTGAAGACAGCCATGAATTTGGTGGACGTGGTAAGTTCTCTCCACACTTCCCCGAGGGGTGGCCATCACTGTCTTTGCTTCATGTAAGGAAACGTAGCCGGCAGCTTTGTTTAAAAGTTGAGTGGTTTTTGGCCTGCAGTGTCCTTGCGGTTAACTGATGCTGTCCGAATCCGAACGCTAGCGTTGCCTTCCCGGCGCTTTGGCTGTATTCGGTTCAAAGCCTCGAAGTGAGTAATGTCTGGTACTCCCCTCGAGTAATGTCTGGTACTCCCTGCCCAGGAGAAAGTGGCGCTTTCCGACGTCTCCATGTTCCTTGTGTCTCTGAGGCCGGAGGAGTCCCTGGGACGAGGGACTTCATTGTGGACAGAGGTGAGCTGGGTGACCCCACGAGGTCGCTGGGCGTGGCCGTTCCTCACTGGCCTCACCGTGTGAACTGCAGTGGGGGCCTGTCAGCATCAGCAGGCTTTGGGGGCGCGTTCGCTCAGGGTGGCCCAAGCACACGGGGAGCCCGGGGAGGGGCGGTGGGGGGGTCTCGGTCCTGGCTGGGACGTACTGGGAATCGCAGCATTGGCCCCCAGCCCGTGGTCCCGCCAGTGGACAGACCTGCCCCAAACTCTGCCCGGTTTGTAACTTGCTTTGCTTTCTTCTGGGGTTTTAAAGTTCTCGCGTAGCTTTCTCGGGCCTTTATCGGAAGTGTGTCCTGTTCTCTCATGCTCTCGGCCACCCAGGACACTTGCGAGATTTGTGTTTTAATGAGAAGCCAGGGGAGACCACCTGCCAGCGACTGCTCTGAGGGGCCATTGCCTAAGTCTGACATGAGAAGTCTTTTTTTTTTTTTGAGAGGTTTTTTTCGCTATAGGGCGCGTGCGCTCGCCAGACAGAGACATAGAGACAGAAAGCGAGAAATCACCCCCCAGGGGGGATGGTCACGCCGCAATCCCTTCTCCTCCATTCTCCTCTCGGGATCTTGGGCACGCATGCACATGCGCCCGGCGTGAGATTTAAGCCACCGGGTCCGAGACGCGAACCGCGGTCGACTACGTGGGAGTCCAGCGACACAGCCATTACACTAACTGCTGGTTCCCGACATGAGAAGTCGTGATGGGAAAATCTTCCTAAGCTTTTGACAGATTCGATAGAGGGAAAGAACCAAATATGAATTGGAATTTCCATCAGAATAATTTTGGTATAACAGAGCCATACCTGTGAAAATACAACATTTGGGAAGTCTTCTTCCACATTTTATAGCAATAATTGAGAAACGTCCACCAGTTTTGGAATACAAAAGCTGCCCGTGCCATGAACGCAGGAACTCTGGCGGGCCCTGCTGCTGTCACAGATGGTGCCTGAGGAGCACCTGGCTGGGTAGCGGCCGCGGGCAGCGTCCCTCAGCTCCGGGCTGCACCTCTGCACCCCCGGGCGTCCGCTTCAGTGCTGAGCACTGCCGGCTGGTCGCCAGTCCGTCTTTGCTCCAGTGAAGCAGCATTCTCTTTCCTCCACATCTGTACTTTCGGATGAGCTTAAAGTGCAGAAAATATTTTTAAAAAGTTTTTACTTTCAGAAAGACTTTATCATCATTTCCTTCATATTTAAACTCATTTATTGAATAGGGACTTTAAAGCGATACTACAAAAAGGAAATTGCGAATAGAGTTCGATTTTAAAATAAATTCACAAACATGATCAAAGATCAATTGTGAAATTCTGTGACTGACTGTGGCAAATCTTCTAAGAGATAGAAAAGAATTAGGGCAGTATTTTTTCAATTAATGTATTTCACTGTGCATTTATGATAGAAGACAGGGACTTCACATACAACTTAATTTCAAATTGTTCATTCTCTCAAAAATAAAGGTTCTGAAAGGAATTTAAGGTTGTGATTTGTTTTATGTAATGTATTTTTTTTTTCCTAGTGATGTTCTGAACATCTGAGCAAAATGTGTATTTTATATTAGGTACTTTAGAACTTCTTGCCCATTAAAGAAGTCTTCAAATTCTTTAAGGGAGATTAAAACACATGCACATTTGGGACCAGCAGTTAGCATAATGGCTATGTCACTGGACTCCCACGTAGTCGTCTACGGTTCGAGTCCCGGACCCGGCGGCTTAAACTCATGCCGGGCACGTGTGCGTGCATGCTCTGCCTACTGTCTGTAAAACTCAGTCATGTGTATCTGAACATATACCCATACACCCAGGCACGCATGCACGCATAGCTACATATACATACATACGTAAGCACGTTTCTGTCTTCTCTGTACTGTCTAGAACTCAATTGCGACAAGAAATTGATTTGTTACTGGGGCTGGCAGGTGGCGTGGTGGTTAAGGGCACTGGACTCCCATGTGGCTGACCGTGGTTCGGGTCCTGGACCTGGCGGTTTGCTTTCTTTCTGTCTCTCTGCCTCTCATTCAGTCCTTCTCTGGTCATATTGAAATAAAGAAATAAATGGATAAATAGACTTACGTAATATAATTCTTAGAAAATTGATTTGTTATTTTATTATATTCAATGATTAGATTCATTTTATTGGAAAGAAAGAACACTGGCTTGAGGGAACTAGAAGCCCTTTGTCCAGTTAAATTTTTTTAAGAATTATTTAATTTTATTCTTATTACGATTTTTAAAATTTGCTGTAGGGCATATGCACTCACCAGAGAGAGAGAGAGAAAGTGAAAAAGCAAGCCACCAGGTCCAGGGCTTGACCCACATGTGGGAGGCCAGTGCCTTAACCAACACGCCTCCTGCTGGCTCCGTCCAGTGGCGCCTTTAAAGCAATCACATTCCCTCCCCAGCTCTGTGACTGGCTGCGTGTCAACGAACGCCGTTTTAGGTGTGCCCCACCTTGCAGCCCTGTCGGGCCTCCCGAGACGTCCTTGAATGCGTACGTGAAGAGCCTGGTTCTGGACTACATAAAGGCGCCTCCCTGGGAACGTGAGTCTGCAGTCGTGGGCACGGCTGGTACGCCCCGAGCTGGTTTCTTCAGGTTGAGATCTAGGCTCACCTGCGTGCGTGGTGACATACCGATGGCCACCCGGTTCCGGTCAGATGACACAGAGGCAGGGTGTTGAAATGCGGCTTCCCAACCTGTACCTGGTCTGCCCCAGACTCGAGGTTTTAAACTGCTTGGCGTGTTAAGGAGCCAGTCGGCACCAGAGCCGGAGCCATTCCTGGCAGGTCACTGCTGTACTCTGCGGGTACTGAGCCCGTGTAGGTGGCGCTGGGGTGGGTCGGAGCCCACATAGTGGACATCCGAGTAGGTGAAGTGGTTTGGCATTCTGTCGTCAGCTTGCTTTGAAAGATCACACTGAGGGTGGCCTGATTATGAGAAGCAGTCTCAGGTCAATGCTGCGTCCGAAAGGCGGGTCTGTCCCTTCCTCTCGTCACTGGGTACTTGGTGCCGTCAGCCTGGCCGAGGCCCCGACTTGGGGGCGACGTGCTGGGAATCCAGGAGCGAGACCTCCCGCAGCTCCCGCAGTAGCCCGCACAGCCCAGCTGCTGCCCCGCAGAGGGAGCTGTCTGGGCTCCGCTGTGCCTCAGACCACGCAGCTTTTCTCCCCTGGTGACCTGACCGATAGGGAGCAGGTACACACGGTCAGACAGTCACCTTCCAGGAGACACGCGGGGCCTCCTCGGGACCTCTCTCTCGTCTAGTACATGTTCTGTGCGGTTACGTGGCTGACTCTTTTGCTCAGTCCATAAGAAGGAATCATTTAGTCTCTACTAACAACAAACATGGACGGGGCAGCACAGGCTGGACCGGCTGCCCCGCCTCATCTGCCCACCCATCCCCTTCTGGGCACGTTTCAGGGGCCTTCCACCCCCCTCAGCTGGAGCCCGGGAGCTGCCTTCCCTGGGGCCTCGCATCTGCCACATCTCGTCTGCTCTGGTTCCACTTTGTACCTAGGGGCACCTTTTCAGGCGTTCACAATTCATGGTGGCCTTACACGTGGCCTGTCCCCTTCTCTGAGGGTCTCCATGTTACCCTTCAGTGGCTTCTCATTGTGTCAAGGACAGTGATAGAAACCCTCTGGTAGCCACGACATTTCCTGGCGACTCCCACCTGTCCGTGTCACCTCTGCGAGTGCGCGGCCTCCTCCTGTCTCCTCCACGACGTTTCCTGGTGTCTCCCGTCACCCCGTCCGCGTCACCCCTGTGGGTTCACACGGCCCATCTCCTGCGTGCAGTGCAATCTCCTGGCAGGGGACCTTCCTCACCCTCTTCCTTCCGTTGGAGGAGTTCTTGTCTCCTTTTACTGATCTCACTCCCTCTCACCACAGCTCCAGCCCACTGGCATTTCCTTGGGGACACGTCCTCTTACACCCCCAAGGCAGCACGTCCTCCTGCCGTGCCGGGCAGCGGCACCAGGCACCTCCCTCCGCAGCCCTCACTGCCTGGTGGTGTCACAGTCCCCATCCAGCCTTTGATCCCACCTTTCTCCCCTGCTCCGGGCACCACAGGAAAGCAGTGCTGTCTGCATCCGCCTGTGCCCGCAGGAGCAGGCCCGCGGGCGCCTTGCATCCGCATCAGAAGCAGGCGGCTGACATGAGCCGTGCTGCGGGCTCTGCTGTGCCCACCCTCCCGTGTCTCTCTCACGTGCTGTCAGCCAGGCTTAGCTGCGTGGCTGTCTGGTTGGAAGCACGTCCCTGCAGGACGCCGCTGCTGTGTGCAAGCCTTCACTGCTGCCGTTTCAGCAGGGGACAGCGGCGCTCTGCCCGATGGGTCCCAGGCCAGGCTCGTCGCCCTGATGGTCATGCTGGCTGTGGATGTGGAAGGAGCGAAGACTCAGCACAGGTGACTGCTCTGGGACCGGAACCGGACCAGCTTGTCCTGGAAAGGCCGACCCTCAGCGTGGAGTTGAGCAGGAGGGCCAGTCGAAGGAGGGGACTGAGATGCGGGCAGAATACTAAAGAGATGTCTAAAGTTAACATAAACACACAGAATGAGGCTTGCCAGCCCTTGTAGGTTGGCCAATTAAACTTAGCCGCTTAGTGTTAACTTAGGGAACGTTAAAAAACCCATAGACCGTAGTCTCTGCTTTTGAATCGGAGAATCGGAGAGTGGCCGTAAGACCCCAGCACAGGAGTAGGTAAAGCAGTCTACTGGAGTCGACCCTTCGTGAGATGTGCTGTTAAGACGGTAGCAAAGGTGAGCCAGTCGTGGTCACGCCCAGGTTGGCGCTGCATGCTGTAGCTCCGCGCCAGGCCAGGCCGTGCTGCAGGCATGCAGCTCAGTTATGTCCCTCAGACCCCTCTCCCAAAGCATTAGGGCCAACGTTCCTTACACGTTTTTTCACAAATCACTAGTTTTTACGGAATCCCCTAACCATGCCTCATTTTTCCGCTGCCTTCTGTGTGTTCTGTTGAGGGGCAGGAGCTCAGCAGTTGAATCTGGGGAGAAGCAGGCATGGGGTGTTCATCCTACAGGTGCCCAGAGCCAAGTGGGGTTCTTTCCAGTGCTCTCACCCCCAAGGAGTCACACTCACCAGGAAGTGCAGCCTGGAAGAGCAGTCTGGGAGGGCCTGGGGCTTCTGCTGTCCACAAGAGTAGCTTTATCCCGTCCAACTCGTTAGCTAACCAGTCCCCGAGTGAGCTGAGAAGCAATGTCTTCTTGCTTCGGAGCCGGGTGACAGGAGTGCCTCTTCCATGCCCAGTGAGAAGCAGAGAACAGAGAATGTCCTGAGGCTGTTCCTGGACCCCCTTCTGGATGCCCTGGGGATGTTGGGTGCCAATGCCTACATGCCCCTGCCGAAGACTGACAGGTGCCTCCAGGTGCTGGTGAAGTTACTGCACACCTGCGTGTGGAAAGGGCCCGGTGCCGCCGATGGTGAGGATGCTTAGTCCCCGCCCCTTCTTGCTCAGCCGTTGTTGGCACTAGAGTGGGACAGACTCGGGACTGGAAATACAGGGGCACCATCACTCACTCAGCAGATGCCTCCTAAGCATCTCCTGGTACTGCGAGGGGCGTGGCGGTGAAGGAGCAGCCCTGGTGCTCCTGGACTTAGCATTCTGGTGGCTTACGGTCATTGGTCTCTGTCAATTTTATTTTATTTTTTAAAAAATGTTTGAAAGGGCCAACCCTGTAGCCAGTGGTTACAGGAGCCAGACTCCGTGTGGCCAACTGCACGGCTCAGATCCCAGCCCCAGCGGTTTGAAACCCCACGGACGCCTGTGCTGGTCCATCTCACCCGCTGGGCGCGTGGGCCGTTCTCACCTGTAGGCTGTGGTGCCCGCCGCCGCTGTGGGCATGGGTGTGCAGGTCTCTGCTGAAACCCCTGCTTTTGGGTCTCGAGGGCCCCAGAGCAGAACCGCAGTGATGCGTGGTCGTCCTGTGTTTAACTTGTGGAGGAGCGGCCGTGCCTGTTCCACAGCCGCTACCCCATCCCACATTCCCACCAGCAGAGCACACGGCTCCAGCTGCGCCCCGCCCGCCCCGTGTGGCCCTCTTGTCGTGAGCATTAGCCGTCTGAGGGGCGTGAGGAAACTGAGCCCGACTGGGCCGAGGCTGCTTTGTGACCTATTCTGGCCCCGCTGTTTAGGGATCAGTTTTAACTCCACACCCTGGGGCACAGAGTAGGACAGCCCTCTGCACTGTCCACCGTGCCGCCTACACCTCCAAGTGGCTGGGCAGCCGCTGTCCTGTGCTCCTTCCTGTCTGGGGTCTCGCCGTCCCCCCAGGGTCCTCCTTTTCCATTCTCTGATGGGAGCAGGCCCACCTGTGCCCAGTGACTGGCCTGCCCGTGGCTGCTTTCTGGGTCCGTCTGCTGCTCTGTGTCCCTAGAGGCTCAGGGCTGGTCGGTGTGGCTATGCTCAGTGGGGAGGGGGGCATGCCCCTGCCCATCGTGCCCAGGCCCAGACCCACGTGGCGGTAAGGCTCATCAGACCCCCGGGATGAGTGCCGTTGCACTGCCGGCGTTCCGCCTTTCGTCCGTGTCTCACAGTGTTCCTGCGCTGGAGCACCCAGCGTGTTCTGACGGGCCCATCGTCACCATTCTCCAGACTGGCCACCTCATGCCCGTCACCCTCCCAGCTCAGCTGCCCAGTGCCCAGGGTTGTGGGTGCACGCCACTGTGCCTGCATTGGGAATCGAACCTGAGATGCCAGGGAGGTCGCCTCTCAGTGGTCCCAGCCCGAGGAACCGGCACGGCTGCTGCCGCGGGGCTGGCGGGGGTGTGGTTTTTGTCGCCCTCGCCGGACCTCCT